TAAAGTGTTAAGTGTTATGATGCAGAAAACACAAGCATACATAAGCTTCTACAAGAACTCGAGCAAACCAGTCTGTAGTTTTACGCCATGTACGCAAAATTGCGGCAAATACAAGTGGCGGGAAGCACACATTTATGAAATTCCTTTTCGCCGATTTTCCACTTTACTGGGTGTTTTTTCCTTTATACTTGTATCTAATTCGAAATATTTACTCTGTATTAGCTGTAGTTATGCGGCCATTTCGCGAAGGTGGAGGGTACTGGCTGTATGTCCCGAAGCCTTGGAACGGTAGAAAACGCTACGGTATTCCGAATGGGTACGTTTTTTCTTCAAGTATTTTCTTTGCTAAACCTGTTGTTCTCAAATGTGCATGTACTACGTCGAGGTGGTGTTGTGACAAGTGGCTCCGATTAACACACGCACGCTACAAAGGTGAAACCTCGGCTCGGTTTTCGCCTGGGTTAATAGAGTCTCTATCCCTCCGGGGCAAGTGTTGGTGCCAGTCTCGTATGTTAGGTTGGGAACACTGACGTGTACGTCGGCTGAGCTTGTATAGGCCTTATCGCATTCAGGATGCCAGTGCGATTCTGACTAGGAGAATGCGTGCCCTGTCGCCGGAGAAAAATTGGAACACTGTAACAAAACTGGAACACTTGTTACCCTAGCCCCTGTTCAACCGTAATCGTCCTTGTCACGCTGAGATTCGCAGAACTGAGAAAGTCGTAGACAATGGAAATGTATCGATTGATTTTATCTAAGTGAAAAAGGTCTACGGACAATTTAAACTCGCTTTGATCGCGTCAACTTTCTGTAATTTTATTTGAGACATTGCTTCGTTCTTATTAAGACTTCTTATTTCAGTATCGATAAAGCTAAAAAGAGCATACGACTATTCGATATAATCGAAAAATTGCAGTCCAGTAAAAAGAAGCACAAGCATAGACGTCAAGTGCGCATTAACTACGGAGACGGACAATCCCTATTTCTATTGCCAAAGTTAGTTTTGAAGTTTTGGGCTTTGCTTCTTTGCCGACTCAGCTGATTAGATGAAAGAGCTTCGTATTACTTGACTTATATCCTGCAGCGGTATTATCGCATCAGTCCTCGCCTCTTCTCAGCAATAGTGATCGACTTAAGAAGGAAGCATCACTGGCTCTAACGCGGAAGGGCTCATTCCATGACTCTTGATAACGCCCGACTTATAGCGACGATATGAGCCACACTTTATTTCAGTCGCACAGTTCGCACAAACGCCAAGCGACAACGGGCCGTTTTCTCGACAAACACTAAGTTTTTTCCTCCTTCGTCTCGTAACCTTGGTTTTTATGCAACGGTTGCATACCCATCTGATTTCAGTTATATTCCATCCACAGTAGACAACAACAAACGAAAAACACGCAAACTAAGCTAAAAAGACACTTATGCAGCGAAGGTTGCCGTACCCAAGAATGTAGGGTAATTTCCAAACACGGGAGTGCCTGGGCGTGTCATAGGGCTGGGTTTGACGCGGCGCCTGTCCGTTTTCCATCAAAACTGTTGTCGCTTGCGCCGCTTCAACAATTACTGGAGAACCGATAACTGGGGCCGAACTCAATCAGCCGATCCCCTCCTGCCAAGCCCCGCATCCGCAGCGAACAGGGCTGTATATATTGAACTAGTGAGGCTATAAAAAAAGTGGAACACTGCTGCAAAGAGTAGGTGGTCGACATCGGCATTTTGAATAGTTTCGAATGCGTGCCAAGAAAGCTAAGGTCCTGCAAAATCTGAAAGCTCGCATGCTTAAACCCACAAATACATTTATCGAACTAGGAAAGATTCAGAGTAAATGATGCTTTCGTTCTATGAATGCTTCCCTTCCCAGCTAGTTTATAGTATTCCAAATAAGGGGTAACTACCGCCCCATGAGTGCGTAACATTTGAAACTATTTCTCTTCCTGCAAGGGTTACTATTAGGGATGATTTAAATACAACAGCGCTGGGACAGAGTCCGTGCTAGGGAATGGTAGTGGGTTGCAGTGACCACCTATTCCGTTGATGTGCCCTGCTACTATTCGCACGAAGCAGAGCTTAAACTCTACTCCTGCCCGAGTTCAATAAGGCTTCCCCCTGACGCAGTCGATTAAACGGTATCAGAATCATGGATGAAACCATATGCGTTAGCTGGTGTCGCAAGTAAATGCATATGGGAATTGACTTCATACAGCGTTCCAGAAAATTATTGATAAATGCCTATTGGTTTTTCCTTCCTCAGTCATCATAAAAATTACGTCGATTCCAGGACACTTTCTAAAGGGATACATCACTGGAATTCGTACGAGAGTCGTTTCAAAGAATGGATGGAAAAAATTTCCAAGAGTGAGTCGCATAATGCTTCAGCCGACTTGTCTTCAGGTGAGATTTTTTGAGCATTTGAAAGCTAGCTAAGTTCATGACATCTTCATTTCACCGTTTTCCACTTGGCCAAAAACGCATTTCCAAACCTGTGTGAATTACCCGATTGACCGTGAAAAAATTTTCTCTGGAACCTATGCATGCTTCCAGAGAAACCTTTCATCGTGCAAATTTATTTCTTGAACATCCCTTCTGTCTCACTCTACTGCTTCCAAGATGAATGTTAATTTTACAAAAACAGTGATTCTCCTATTGTAAAAGGATCATCGTAAAGTAACTGATTCGTTGATCACTTCTTTCTTTTAGTTCACCTTTGCAGTTCCTCATTTTTTGATATTTTTTAGCTTTTGAATGTGGTAGCTCATCAATCAACGAGCTATCTCTCCTCAATCACAGCTTCGAAGATGATCCTCTTCGTGGTTTTTACACCATATGGAACATGAACACCACAAGGATACCCAAGACGAAGCTATCCACTTCAGAAAAGGTACGAAAACTGGTCTAAATCACTGTATTTAGTCACATGTAATTTCATTCATCTCGCGTTTCTTCTAGCTTATTATTTGACATATGGAACATTCTTTGATCTCATGTAATGATTTCAATGGCGTACACGATAATTATGATCAGCTGTAAAGGTTAATTTATGAATTCTTACTAAAGGCACGCTCCGCGTTCGTTGGGTGCGCATACGCCTTCCTTGGAGAAGTTAGTCCTGTTCTTAAGCTAGAGAATAAAGACTTCACCACTTTCGCAGCACAAAAATCAGTGAGGAAGGCAACGCTCCGCCCACTGGCTACTGCTTTCTTTTCTGAAGACTTCTTGGTAGTGCAATTGTTCAAGTGCTAGCTGTGCTGTTCATAGTGATGAAAGTTAAGTGAGAAGGAGAAAGAGCTGGCACCAAAAAGTTAAAACTCGTCTAGCCGAACCCTTTCTTCGCCTTATGCACGCACAAGAGTGAGGTTGTTTAGAGGGCATTTGAAGCAATTTTTACTTATTTTTTTCTTCACTTTTTCTTGTCATTTAATACCTTTTCGTTAGCATTTGAGCTGCACATCTCACCGTTTTTATACGAGAGATGTGCTTTAGTTTCAAAGTCAGTTAAAGCCCTGTTCAGGTTTTCGAGCATATCCATGGTGTGTGGAAAAGTCGTGAAGTGGACCAATTGCTCTGCAAGGTGAGTTTTCTTCGAAATTCCGCAGTTTTGTGTTCCCAACGCGCAAAAATTTTTGCGCTCACTCAGTGACGTTTTCATTTTCTAGACGCCAAAGGGTGGCGTTTCTGGTAGAATAGAGGATCCATCGCTGCTATCTGCAAAGGGTCGAGATACACTGCAGAGGTGGTCCAGGGTTGTCACTCACTACGATGAAGGAAATGTGTCAGGTGAATAAAAGAATAATTAAGGACACTCTTCGAACTACCTTTTTTCTCATCAAAGTTTGTAAAATAATGCAACAATTCACATCTTTACAACTACTATTGAGTTAACTGTTCCCTTCATGATCTAGTATTGCGCTAGCTATAGTTACTCCAGTACGTAGGTAATGATTTCAGCGCTAACTATAGCTACTCCAGTACGTAGGTAATGATTTCAGTCTTGTTTTGTGAAGCCTCGCACAGTGCTGTGGCGCGTGAAAAGTTGAAACATTGTGCCGTATGTTGAGCTGCGTTCATACTTCTGCGT